GAACCTGGTAGGATGAAGAAATGAGGGAAGAAGTGATGATGAAAAATGTGGCGTTAAAATGAAATGACACTGTAAAAAGAGGGACTCGTGTTTTAAAAAAAGCAACGGGTAAAGACTGAGATGTGGTGAGAAAGGTTGGGAGATAAAGGAAGAGGACTAAAGGGAAGACGTGCAGGAGCTGAAGAAGTCGTGAGACTGTGATGAAGGCAGGTCTGCCCGCTTTCCTCTGAAGACTCACATCATGTTGGTCAGTGTTACATAACAGCCCTGCCTCTGTCTGTCTGTCTCACCATCATCACACACACACATTGTCATTATTGAGTCTGTGTTTACACTCACATTTCCTCTCTCCGCATCGGTCTGTCGAGTCTACTGCAGGTCCTAGAAGATGGGGACTTACACGCAGGACGGAGCCAGAGTTTTTGTTTTTCAGGACTTAGGTGTTAAAGTTATGCTAAAAGACAGTTTTGTGCTGATAGTTGTCATTAGCGTGGTTTCCTTTTGTACAAGTTAAACACATAAGACGAGCAGAAAGCCATTTCAATAATTACATGTTCAGTTTATGTGCTTGCAGCACTTAAGTTGTTACAGACTTAATATTATTTACGCTTCTTCACTTCCAATGGCAACGCTTTCCTCAGGCAATTGTTCCATGTTTGTGACTGTGAAAACATGAATAGACTCTCTTTGATTATGAAACTGTCATCTGAGAGTTTGATCTGCCTTGAACTTCCTGCTTTCCTTAGAAGGTGAAATTTTCTTATGACTTATCTGGACTCATTAAAATTGATTGCTGAACAGATTCTCTGTTAGGCACTTCCAGGCACTGGTTTTCACCAAAAGGAGTAGTTGTTATTCTTAAAACAGTTATTATTACACTTGTATAATACAATTTCTGCTAACATGGTCTTTTTCATAACTGTCTTCATCACATTCTTCTTCAGGGCTTCTATCAGTAGTCTCTAAAGTAACTCCTACCAAGTCTGGGAGTTTTTTGGGGACGTTAGGAGTTCTTTTTTTTTTTTTAACGTGTATAAACTCGTCGTAATTAAGGCAGATGAAACTATTCAGCACGTGTGCGAGTTAACTTTGAGGTTAACTGCGATTTGGTACTTTTCTTCGCAACAGGAACATCTTTTGCTAGAAATTCTCCATCGATTGTAGTGTTGTACTTTGGAGATATCGTGACTTTTTGTAAATTTCTGTAACTGTAAACCTGGTTAACGACCAAAAAGATAAAAACGGAAATGCTGACAAGTCAAAAAACGAGTGTGTGGCTTTGCTTGCCCTTGTTAATGAGCTGTTCATCATGACTCAGCTAGCTATCGGCTTTTCTTGCCTTCAGTCATTAATTATAAATGCTAGCAGGCTGGCTTTAGCCTCCACTGAATGGAACTGTCACAAGAGGATAGATTCTAATGACTTTGGTAATGGCCAGACGTTCCCTCCAGCTCCACCAGCAGTTAGTTTTGACTGTTTGACTGTTGTTTGTAATTACGTTGGGGGATCCCCTGCCTTTTCCTCTTATTTGTAAATGTACATTTGAGAAGTTTTAGGGACAAACACCCTGAACGCTGGCAAATCAAAAACAACTGGGTGTCTTCGGTTTTCCAACTGCCAAAGCACATTTATTAACATTTAGTTATTATTATTACTACACAAGAGCATATCCTCACCCTGCTCCTTGATCTGCCTGATCTGCTTCACCGTCTCCTTGAGGATGGCACATTTGTCCGGCTTGACGTTAAGGTCGTCCATGTCGTTGATGTTGGCAAAGATCAGCTCTGCCAGTTCCTCGATGTACTTGTTCTCCTGCTCCCGGTTTCTCCTCTCAGTGCTCCTCTTAGGGCTGGAGGATAAGGAGGGAAATGACGACATCATTGAGAGAAACTAATGAAGTCAAAACCACGATAACTGCAACGGTGCTGCGCTGTATGATAATATAGCTGTGATATAACAGCCGAGGACTTTGCTGCACCGTGCAGTAATCTTACACTGAGTTGCCAAAAATGTTTCTACATATCCGAGAGTTACTCGCGTGCTCTCCATACTGACTACTTCTCTTTTCGGAGACAAAGAGACACTTAGTAAAATTAAGTTCTCAACCTCAGACGCAACATCAATGTGTCCTCATTATAGTCTGCAGCGTACCATCAAACAACAGTTCATTCAGTCAACTTGTGGTATACAAAGATGCTGCAGCAGCATTTTTCTATAGTGACCCACATTAATCACTCCCTTTTCTTCTTAATGAGCCATAAACTACCATGCCATTTATAACTACTTACTTATTTATTTAATAATGTGTCAAAAATCTAACCAACCAAAATGAGGAGCTATATAATTAATAATCAAGTGTTCTTTAAGGAAGTAATAAGGCTTTCTGATTAATTGTTATTGTCATTTATGTATTACAGTGTATCATGAGGCTGTGTGTGGTGGATAAAGGTTTTACCTGGGCCCCAGGAGGTCTGACTGACAGTCCTTCCTCTTCAGAGAGTCTCCCCCTCTGGGGGGCTCTGGGGTGTCCCCCCTCCCAGTACTCATCTTCAGCAGATATCAGCACCTGGAGGCAGAAAAGCAAACCCGTGCAGATTGTAGTTAGAGTTTGGTGTTTTAGCGTGCTTATTGTTACATATAAAATTGGTAAATAATGCGTACACATAGCCCTCTGGAGTGTACAGGTGCATGCTGGGGTTATTGAGGAATTGAAGAAGGCTGGGATGAGAATTTAAAAAGTATGTTCTCCATATGACACGAGGAATGTGAGACACGTTATGAGTGCATGTTGCGGTGCGGATGGAGCTGCCTGTCTGGAGAACTGTGGCTTGAAGGCTTCACTTCATTTAAAATCACCATAAAATAAAACATAAGTTACATGTTTTGGCATAAACAGCAACTATCAAATATAAAGGTACAACAGAATAATAACCACGGACCTGTTTAAGCAATACAAATGTAGATCAGTTACTGGAGCTGCCTGTCATAATATTTACATTCTCACAGCAAGAGTACAAGCCTGAAAAACTGTAGAGTCCTTTGGACATTTACGTGTTCGTGATTTCAAACGTATCCAAAGTGTTTACAGTAAATCTCAATAAACAAAGGCATAACCTCGATGCGCCAGATTGAAGCAGCACAAGTGCAGCTGAGCACCGTGGACACTAAATCCTCGTCTCACTCCTTGATGAACTTCACTTCATTATTTATAGGCAAAAGTTAATGCGCTGAAGATGTACACACACTGCATTTTGTATAATGAGGGAGTGCGCTCGTGACTCCCGAACACAATGTGCTATTGTAAAGTGCCCGCAGGCAATGTGGGAGGCCCAGTGGGAATACAGTAGGTGTCAATAATTACTTCAGTTAGAAACAGCTAATTCATGTAGGCATTCACTGTTCTTACATGAACATTTATGGTGTTTGAGTCAAAGGCGTTCACTAGCAGTCATAATGACGACAGCCAAGTTGTTTAAAGAATATTTTTGCCATCTTGAAAGAATTGGGTAAGACCGAAAAGAAGCAAAGTATAGACAGGTGGAAAGGCATTTAAATTAAACACTTCTTGGCAGGGAAAGTTACACCATATGGTCACCTCATGTGGCTAGACCTACAAAACACTGCTTACAAAACCCTTGTTGGTCTAACATGGTCAACTCTCTGATTTCTCCCTCAGTTTTACTTTAAATTACTCAAATTGCAGATGTGTGTTATGGTAGCTGTTTGGCACTTAGTTCTGTTTTTCAAGAAACGGTTAAAAATTGCTTCAGGTTCAGGCCTTTCAAAGGACTGGCGTGTCCTTTTTTGTTAATATAACACAGGTTTGGACTTGAGGTAATAAAAAGGACATACTGATTACAAATTGACAGAATAGATGTGACAAGCATCTGTTATCTTTAACAATCATTTGCAGATGAGACAGACTCTAACAGTTACAAGCAGGAGCAGAGGCAGTGTCTGTTAGGACAGTCGGGCTTTAAGGCCTTTCAACGGGCCAGCCCACCACCTGACTATTACATAACAGTCCGTCAGTGGGGCTGATACTGTGCAGATAAAGGCAGGATAGAGGGATAAAGGAAAGAAAAACAACAGGGAGGGAGATGGAGAGTAAAGAGAGACAAAAAGAAAGAAACCGATAGGGGAAGAAATAAATCAGGGCCTGCAGAAACATTTTCTCACACAGCCTTCAAGCTGGCAAGTGTAAGTGTTGCAAAATAACACAAGTGGAAATGTATGGGGTAACAGGAGGAAGAAAATAGGAGGAGGAGCATCTGCTGTTCTGAATTAGCAGGCTTGAGGAAGGAGAAAAATATATCCCTATTACACCAAGAGAGCAGAAAATTATCAATAATGTGATTTAAAAGAAAAAAATCAGACAGTCAGTTTTTGCCAAGTGGTGTCTTTGGCTGTGGATGTGGTGATAGTTCCCACAATGCAAAGAGAGCCCTTGTTAATGAGCTGTTATCATTGTGATTTAGCTAGCTATCAACTTTTCGTGCCATCAGCCAATTTTTAGAAAAGCTAGCAGGCTGGCTTTAGGAATAAAATGCCTGTCTGACAGTGGCACTGCCATCTTGACAACCACTGAATGAATTTGTCTCAAAAGGATTGATTATAAAGACTTTGTTTATGGCCAGACTTTCCCACCAGCTACACCAGCAGTTCCTTTGGACCGTTCAACTGCTGTTTTGTAATTACTTTGTAATTACTCTTCCATCTACTACTACCAACATGCTAAACTACATATAGCATTGTACCTGCTAAATATCAGTGTGCTAGCAATATGACCATTCGACTGTCCTATTATTAGGCTACAAGCACCACCAGAGCTGTGGATCCTTAGCCGTCCTATGATTTGTATAAATGTGGAGGAAGAAACACACATATACACTGCAAAGTTATTAAAAATAGAACGACATTAGCGTCCCTACTGTAGGTTACATGATGACACTTAATGGTGGATGATGGTTGCTGATTGATGACTAGAATATAATCATTCATAAAAGAGCAAGTTTAAGTGAAATACAGAAGATTTCAGCAGTGATGAGGGTCATGGTGAGAGACAAACATCTCTGTCCACTTGGCCACAGTAATTACCCTTTCTAATGCCTTCCCATACACAGGCATTAGACTGAGAACACGCGTCATGTCTGGTAGCCAGTAAGTTAAAAATATAACTTGGACTACTTTTTTTTGTCAGGCCAACCATGAGAAAGCAAAGAGTCTAATAAACAAAGCAGGAATTTGAAATTTTGTGCTGCCTTCTGAGTCAAAGCAGCCTTTTGATATCTTTTCTGAACATGAAGCAGTTCAAAGAAAACCTATTACCCATTTTGGCTCCTGCTAACTTACATCATTAAATTATTGAATTGGGGGTCAACAACTTTTTTCTTTTTTTTTTGCTTTCGTTGCATCTGTTGTTTGATGGAAGATAGTTTATTAGCTCTCCATAGTATCAATGGCATCTTTGCTCCCTTTTCAGTGTTATAGGTCTTCATTTTCAACTCACTTTCATTTATATAAAGCCAAATCACAATAGTCACCTCAAAAAACCCACCAATCAGATCACCCCCTATTAGCCAGCACTTGGCAACAGCGGGAGGGGGAAGGAAGAACTCCCTTTTAACAAGAAGAACCTGCAGCTCTGGGAGTGGCAGACATCTGCCATGACCAGATGGAACCAGAGATTAATAATACCTGATGAATAAACACTCTGTGGTTTATAAACTCAGAGTGAAAAAAGGTGAGTGAAGCAGAAACACACAGTGCATCATGGGAAGCCCCCAGGAGCCCAGGCCTATTGCAGAAAACCTAAGGGAAGATTCCAGGTGACGTGATCCAGCCCTAACTACAAAAAGGATAGTTTTAAGTCTAATCTTAAAAGAAGTCAGGGTGAGGCTGGTTCCACAGAAGAGTGGCCCAAAAGCTGAAGGTACTGCCTCCCACTTTACTTTTAAATATCCCACAAGTAAGCCAACAGTCGTAGAACAAAGTGCTCTACTGGGAAGGTGCGGTAACATGAGGTCTTTAGGATAAGATGGGGCCTAAAAATTCAAGACCTTGTATGTGAGGAGAAGGATTTTAAGTTCTAAATTTGACTCTAGATTTAACAGGGAGCCAGTGTAGAGGAGCTTACATGGGAAAAAGTTTATACTTTCTAGTTCCTGTCAGTACTCAGCAGTTGATTTAAAGTTAGCTTTGCAAACATATTTTGCTAACACAAATTCATGCCAAGTTGATCAACTCTCGCGTGGCATATGCAAATGAACAGAAAGTCATTTGACAATACCCACTTCTTTCCTAATAGTGTAATCAGCATCCTAATAAACAAGGAAATTACAACGTGTGAGTTAATTACTTGATTGTCAATCATTGCTGGAGATATTTAAACTTGAACATCAAGTACCAAAACTAACCTTCCACCCTCGAGCTGTGCAAGACATCCATTTACTTGGATTAAGTAGGAAAAAAAGGAAACACCTCTCTAAAAGTTAATTAAACAAAGGTTAGCGACGTCAAGTGTGATGTTAGTTTCAAAACAAAGAGTCTTATTATGTT